GGCGGGGCGGGCGGGAGGGCTCGAGGCGGTGCCGGCTCAGAGGGAGGCCCCGAGGGTGGGGTGGGGGCGAGTGACCCTCAGCCGGGCAGGCTCCTGCAAAGAGTCGAGGGGTGTGTGTATGACCTTGGTGGTGGCCCGCGCCGCTGTGCTGGTCCCTGCGGACCCAGACTGGAGAGGGAGGCTGGGGGCAGGGGTAGGAGGCGGGGATGAGGTAGGGTGCGCTAGAGCTGGGTCTTTTCCTCTTCTTCCCAGAGCCCCCTCTGGGCTCTAGGACGCAGAGTGTGAATTGGAACAGGCTGGAGCTTGACCCACACAGCCAGGGTTGGGGTGATCACGATCTGGGCTTCTGGTCCTGTTCTGTATTGTATATATGGATATGCTAAACCTGGCATTGCTATCTCTGGAAACTGAAAAAAGCCAAAGAGCGGACTTAGCATTATACTTGGCATCCCAGACTGCAGCTGTGTGACAACATGCCCAGGAAATAGGAGCAGTGCTGGGGACTACCCGGAAGTCACCTGTCAAGGGAAGGTGCTAGTGACTTCTGTTCCCCTTACAGGTGCAAAGTATAAGTCCCAGGACAGTGGCCAGCAGCCCTCTGAGTAGAAGTGAATGCAGTTATTGCTTTGGAAGTGACAAACTGCGGGGAAAGGAGAGGTATGCTTACAATTCATATCTCTGAAATACAGGCCAATAGGTACCCCGTTCACAACAATGGATTTGAAGTCCTGCAGTTCTGAAAAGTTTATAGTATTGAAAAAGTCATTTCTACATCCAAGGGAGTACAGGGAGGGAGAAAACAATTTGGATATATAGTTACTAGAAGACTTCCCGGATGTTGCCTGAGTCTTTCAGGGCAGGGGGTTGGCAGTGTGGGCCTGGTAGGGGCTTTTGCCCTCTCGGGGGCGGGAGCCTGACGGGGTCTTTTGCCCTGCCCCCAACCCCTCCTGGGGCTCAAAGGGGGAGCTCAGCGGGGGCTTTTGCCCAGTTTCTCCCTGGGCACCAGGGAGAGCCTGGATGGGGGCTTTTGCCCTGCTCCCAATCTCTCTGGAGCTATCGAGGGGGGCTGGCTGCGGCAGTCTCCCACTTACCTGGAGCAGTGGCAGGCAAGATGATGAGCCCTGTCACCAGCTAGCCACTCATAGCAATGGTACAGCTGCTTGCAGTGATCATTCTACAATATGGCTCTCCCCTGTGCTCTATATCAGAGGAAGCAGTTTGGGGGAGCAGATGGAAGCTGGTGCTCATGGAGAGCCAGCTTTTCAGAGCCGCACCTCCCCTCCCCACAGGTAAACATGTAACCACTGAAAAATTTCAGCAGTTACATGTTTACAAAAGAATGTACTTTTTATCATTCCTACTACTGACACATTATTCAAAATTTGCTCACTCTATATTTTGATTACAAATATTTGCATTGTAAAATAAACAAAATAAACTGTATTTTTAGTTCACTTTATACAAGTACGGTAATGCGATCCCTACAGTCAAAACCAAAACAATGTAAAACTTAAAGTCTACAGGTCCACTCAGTCCTACTTATTGTTCATCCAATCACTAAGACTAACTTGTTTGTTTACATTTATGGGAGATAATGCTGCTCTCTTCTTATTTACAATGTCACCTGAAAGTGAGAAAAGGCATTCCTATGGCACTGTTGTAGCTGGTATTGCAAAATGCCATATATGCTAAACATTTGTATCCCCCTTAGTGCTTCTGACACAGTTCCTGAGGACATGCTTCCATGCTGACAATGGGTTTTGCTTGATAATGCTCCAAAGCACTGTGGACTGACACACGTTCATTTTTGTCATCAGAGTCAGAAGCTGTCAGCAGAAGATTGGTTTTATTTTTTGGTGATTTAGGTGCTGAAGTTTCAGAATAAAAATGTTGCTTTTTTAAAGACTTTAGACCACATGTTTCACACCTTGTGCCACTCAGATTTTGGAAGGCACTTCAGATTCTTAAACTTTGATTCGACTATTGTAGCCATCTTTTAATATCTCATATTGGTTCCTTCTTTGGCATGACATACAATTCTCCCCCCAAGGAGTTCAGTCACAAATTTAATGAATGCATTTTTTTTTAAACAAGAGTCATCAATAAGAATGTTTTAGCAAGATCCACAAGACACCAGAGGAACAAGGGATGCACTCCACCCAGGTGCTTCACCAGAATGGACTCTGGTTCTGTAGCCTTGTGGTTCTGTATTCCCAGGACTACGTATTCTCTGCTGCTTTAAAAAATTCACATACCTCAAGCTGGGACAATGCTGGTTACGTATGCTATGTATCTCACGAACTGTGTAAACCTATTCTTATAACTTCCCATAATCTAAGCTTGACCCCAGATGTATAGTGCTTTCCTTCTTAATTAGTGTGATGTGAACTTTATTTGAAACAGTAGCTTTAATGAAATTTTTCTGTCTGGCATGTAAATAGCTTGCAACACTGGCTACTAAAGTATCAGAGAAATGTGTGTACTCACTTTCAAGTGACATTGTAAACCCTAAGTGGATAGCATTATTGCCAGTGAATGTAAACAGATTAGCTTGTTTTACCAATTAGCTCAGGAAGAGTGGGATTGAGAGAACCTACAAGTCCAAAAGTTTTACATTGTTTTGTTTGAGTGCACTTATACAATAAAACACACTGTACACTTTTTATTTGTTGTTTTCCTGGCTTTTTGTTTGCTACTTTACTTAAAAAAAAACCCTTATAATATATTTCCCCAAATTACTAGAATTATCTCAATTCAGATTCCTAAATCTGTTACTCCAGTGAAAACTAAAATCTTCAAGAAACATGTAAAAGTCAATTACTCTCCTTTCTTAGTGCAAAGTAACAATCTCTTTTAACATATTGATGTTTCAGTTTCATATTCTGTAGCTTCAGGAGCAGATTCAATTAACCACTAAGTTTCATATTATGCTAGTGCCTGATTAGGGTTAGTTTGTACTAGACACTTTAAATACATAAGAAGATATAGGCTCTGCCCTGAGAAGTGTTTTAAATAATAAATGACAAGCAACTAGGTTCTATAATTTTCAAGATGAATGATTTTTACCTACAACAAATATTTTACCTACAATAAATATTTCTGTCAAAACACATCTAATGATTCTCCGCATTTGTAAACATCTCCTGACTTTGCTCCAAAACCCTTAGACAATGTGGGCTGCCAGTCTTGTTTATGTTTTCATTCCCTAATGCACAAATACTCAAAATGCAAGATTTAGTCAAAATTTTTTTTGCCTTACAGGTTGTGCCAAAATGGCAGAATATAGTCCTAAGACACAGTTGTACAAGGGCAAACTTCATGAATATTGTCAGAAGCATAAGATTCAACTTGATTATAAGGATGTCAAAGTAGATGGTCCTCCTCATGATCGTGTGTAAGTTCATAGTATGTGCTGATAAATACAGCAACTTATTTTAATGAGAGAAATAAAGGGCAGTGTAACCACTGCTTCATCTTAAATGGAGATAGCAGCTCTGAAAATACACCAGGATAAGGCCTGTAGTGTTTGCAGTGCTCACCACAATAGTGTGCAGCTGAGTGGGGTTCATGGTTCTCTGGAGATTATGTATGTGCCTTTTGAAAAAAGGCCTGAAATATTTTAGTCTGCAGATTAAACCAGGGGAGAGAGAAAACTGCATCATAGATTGTTAAAGCCTATGTTTTAGTCCCATGGAGATTGCCAGTCCTTCCTAAAACTCCCTGTGGTGAGCTGTACTGTGGGATAGCTACCCACAGTACACTGCTCTCTGCCTTGATGTAAGCGCTTCTATTAGGATGAGCTCCACTGACAGAAGGAGTGTGGTGTGGACATGCACAACCAACTTAATTACTACAGTAGCTGGGTGTCAGTGTAAGTCGACCTAAGTTTGGTTTGCCCTTCGTAAAGGAATGATGGAGTTGCAGACCAGGGATGGATGTATTTTATTTATGTAACCAATGATACGTCTATACAGCAGGGCAAAAGTTGAATTAAGCTACACAAGTTGAGCTACGTCAATTGCGTAGCTTAAGTCAAAATAGCTTAATTTGGTTTTTGGCACTGTCTACATAGCAGGAAGTCAAAGGAAGAAAACTCTTCCTTCAACTTCCCTTACTTCTTGTAAAATGAGAGTTACAGGAGGTGGAGTAAGAAGTCCTGCAGTTTTCCATTATTTTGAAATAATGGCTTACAGTGTAGACATGCTCTTTGTTATTTTCAGAAATAACACTGCTGTGTAGACATAGCCTAAAATAGGCCATCCTTCTCTCTTCCCTCGATCTGGAGCATTGAAGAGCATCCTGGTGTTACACTCCACCAGATCCATCGCTGTCTTAATGCACTCCTCAGTGCTTTTGTAAAAGCTTAGTGTTTAGAAAAGTTACAGTATGAACACATGATTGGGGAGGACACAAAGCTTCTAAAGAATGATGGAAACAGAATTTTGGAGACGATAATCACCTGGATACTCAAGTATTTTCATAACCTTTCCTAGTTCTCTAATGGTAAAACAATGGGGTCTTGATAAGGTCCATATGCATATGCCACAGTTCATCTGTTCAGTTACCAGTTTTCTTTATTACAGGTTCACTGTCATGGTTGTAATAAATGGTAAAGAATATCCTCCAGCTACAGGTAAAAACAAGAAAGATGCAAAAGAAAAGGCTGCAAAGGCAGCATGGAATATCATAACACAAGTAAGTAAACAACAGCTTTTGTTTAAAAGTAAACAATAAACTACAATGTTTTTGTTTGAATTAGAGCCGCAACAGCATTTGTGTGCACCCGCCAAGTGCTCAGGGCTGGCCTGGCCCCAGGCACGTGGCGCATTCATGGTGCCGGAGCCGGCCCCGGGCACATGGTGCACGGTGAGCGCCGGCCCCGGGAGCGCCGCGGATTGGCCGCCCGCGCTCTGGGTGCGCGGCGCTTGGGGGGAGGGGGGAAAGAGCCAGCCCCGGGCGCGCGGCGTTTGCAGGGGGCGCCGGCCCCGGGCGCGTGGTGCTTGGGGGGGACTTGATCAAATGCTTCTCATTTAAGATGCATTTTCCTGTAGAGCAGATGGGCTTGTAAAGTCATATAGGGAGAATGAATAATTTTAGTTTTTATTCCAAGGGTCTGTATTCTTATATGACTGTATTATGTATGTACAATACACACATCATACAAGCCTATATTATGCATATATAATACATAAAATCATAGGGCTGGAAGAGACCTCAGGAGGTCATTGAGTCCAGCCTCCTTTGGCTTTGTCAGGCCGAGATTTAAAAATCTCTGGGGATGGAGATTCCACCACCTCACTAAGTAACCCATTCCAGTGCTTGAATTAGATGGCTTTTTAATGGATCATCTTCTAATGTAGCTCCTGAGGCAATTCAAATGGTTGCTAAACTAAACTGTGTGGGTGACCGGTGTCTGTCTAGCCTAGAAAATCCTTAAGCATGACAATTCTACTACATGAAAAAACAAAAACAAATCAACAAACAAAAACCCCAAACCCCAAAAAGCACTCCTCCTGGTTTATGGGATAAAAAAGGCTTACAAAGTGATTAGATATCAGGTCTTCACTATAGTGTTGGTCATAAATGTGAGTCTCACCTCCAGAAATAATAGTAATAATTAATTAATAATTAATACATTCAACATTCAAGAAAAAGTTAGGAGGAAATTACCACTTGAAAGTCTGTTTTCATTTATACCTTCAAGTCAAGTTAGCATGCTCTTGAGTGTGTGTGTTTTGGTATGGGATTTTTTTTTATTTGGAGGCAAAACCCTCACTAGTAACTGTTCTGCTCTGATTAACTAACAGGACCTTATCCCTGCTTTTTTTAGAACATATTCTTTTATTTGAAAAAACAATGTATTTGTCGAGACCTAGTGGATTCATTAGAAATGTCTCGGTTGGAAAATATTGTCCTTTTATAACATTCCATCGGAGAGTTTTTTTTCAGACTTATACAGTAAAACCTGTGCTCTCTGGAACTTAAGCATCTGGAAAACTGTAGAAACCAGCAAATTTTTGATACAGGGAAAAGAAAAGAAAAATGAAGAAGAGGAGGTAACTTTATAAAGTTACCACAAAGAGCTGGCTGGAAAGCTTTCTTGTTCTGTTTGGTTCTCCCCGCCCCAGAGGAAGAACTTTTGAGTTTTGGCTAAAAATAAAAAATTGAAATATTTTAATTCTGAAATGTCTCATGGGAGTTGTAGTTTGAATGTGTCATGCTCCTGTTCTTTTGTGTATGCTGGGATCCCTGGTCATAATTGCATCTCTCATGATGATCCATGGTATTTCTTTTTGGTGAGGGAGGAAGCAGTTCATCCTGACACATTAATTCCTGTGTGAGGTCCTGCTGTAGAGTCTGGCCCATAAAGGAGAATGAGAGCATGAGATATCTGATATGACAACTCCCATAAGAGACAGGCTTCATTTCAGAACTTAATTATTTCTGTTTCTTCCTGAGCTCTTTTCTAGCATTTCAGGGAGTGAACAATACTTCTACAAGGCCCTTATGTACATTTAAATCCTGTATAAAATATAGCTTTCTACATGTTATTTCTCATAAATGCATAACTGAAAAGAGTTGCTTTGCAAAAGCACTCACACTTAAGTGATGTCCAAACATGCAGTGGGGAACAAAGGCCTATCTTTCAAAAATATACAGGCAGTCCCCGGGTTACGTACAAGATAGGGACTGTAGGTTTGTTCTTAAGTTGAATCTGTATGTAAGTCAGAACTGGCATCCAGATTCAGCCGCTGTTGAAACTGATCAGTTTCAGCAGCGGCTGAATCTGGACGCCAGTTCCGACTTACATACAGATTCAACTTAAGAACCCCAGGCATCCCCAAGTCAGCTGCTGCTGAAACTGATCAGCGGCTGATTCCAGGAAGCCCGGAGCAGGGGTTTCCTGTAGTCTTTCTGGTCTGCAGACCAGGGGGACGGGGAGCAAAGCAGCGGAACACGCGGGCAGCAGACAGCCCAGACGCGCGTCTGCTGGAGACCAGGGAGAGGGCCCCGTTCGTAACTGAGGATCCGACATAAGTCAGATCCGCGTAACTCGGGGACTGCCTGTAGTCTAACTGCACTGCAAGGGTCCGCAGAAATGTAAAAGCAGGGATCAGGCCATATTTTACAATCCTGAAATCTTATATAGATTTCTTGATTACAAACTTCCTTGCAAATTCTAATGGGATAGTAATTATCTCAGGTGGTTTTCAGTTTTACTGGGCCAGTATATTCCATAACGGTGATTGTGGAGGGGTTTATTTTTAAACCATTGTGAATTATCTATAATGGTTAAGGATTCACAACCCTGGCCGTTATACCAGTGCCTTGGTGATGCTCATTTTATGCCACTTAGTAACTTTACAGCTTTCAAGCTATGCATGTTTCACATATTTATTTTGTAGCCTGATGGGGTTTTGCTCCCACAAGTTCTTCAGCTGCAACCATCACCATCACCATCACCACCACCACCACCACCACCACCAGTATCATCATCAGATGAAAAGCCACATGACTATCTCTCCCTGCTTTCTCACTACGGACAAAAAAATAAAAAAAAGATTGACTATGTTTTAAAAGAAGAATGTGGACTTCCTCATAAAAAAACGTAAGATGTCGTTAATGTTGTTAATTTCTTCTGCTTCTTATCTCTGTTTGCCTGCTCTGTGATTTCATTACATGGATGCTTTTAGATGGTTTTTGAGAACTGCAGTCATGCTCACTGCTGAAGTCAAAGGGATCTGTTACAGTGACCTGCTTGAGGAAAGGGCATGTTTTTTGGATCTGTTACTGGAATGAAATTTATTCACAATTGAAACCATAGTGGGAGAAATTAAAAGTGAATTGAAGGAATCCAGATAGCGATTGAACAATTCCAACATCTGTTTCCTAATAACTTCTTCCAAAATGGAAAGTTGGAGAGTGATATTTAGCAAGATATATCTTATTTAAAAATATTAACCATTTGTGTTATTGCCAGTCTGTGGCTCCCTAATGTACTCCGTCACAAACTTCTGATCAAATGTGCTTTTGAGATCGGCTAACTGTCCTATCAACCAATGGCCTAATCTTGTTACTGCTGGAGTCATTGAGAGTTATTGCTTTCATAGAGAGCCCAAGTGCTAAAACACGATCTTGAAAGGAGAAAACATGTCTGTTTGTACATTATGGGAAGCAAAACAGTTCCCAAAGGAAGCCTTCAATTTTTTCTTTACATGAAAGAGAGAAGACCTTAACATAATAGGCTTGAATAGGACCACTACCCCACTTGTGGAGTTTAGGGATACTATCAGTTTGAAGTATCAGAGGGGGTAGCCGTGTTAGTCTGAATCTGCAAAAGCGGCGAGGAGTCCTGTGGCACCTTATAGACTAACTGAAGTGTAGGAGCATAAGCTTTCGTTGGCAAAGACCCACTTCGTCATCTCTAGCCTGATTCTGGCCTGCATATTTATACCTGCCTCTGGAAATTTCCACTCTCTTTTGAAAAAGTGGCTTGCTTTTTCGAAAGTACTAGTTGTAGTCTAGATGCTCTTTTTCAAGAGGCTTGCAGTCTAGTCGTACCCAAAGGCTACGTCTAGACTGGCCCCTTCTTCAGAAGAGGCATGCTAATTTCTAACTTTGGAATAGGGAAATCCGCGGGGGATTTAAATATCCCCCGCGGGATTTAAATAAACATGGCCGCCGCTTTTTTTCCGGCTTGGGGAAAAGCCGGAAAAGAGCGTCCAGACTGGCGCGATCCTCCGGAATAAAGCCCTTTTCCGGAGGATCTCTTATTCCTACTTTGAATAATACTTTGAAGTAGGAATAAGAGATCCTCCGGAAAAGGGCTTTATTCCGGAGGATCGCGCCAGTCTGGACGCTCTTTTCCGGCTTTTCCGCAAGCCGGAAAAAAAGCAGCGGCCATGTTTATTTAAATCCCGCGGGGGATATTTAAATCCCCCACGGATTTCCCTATTCCAAAGTTAGAAATTAGCATGCCTCTTCCGAAGAAGGGGCCAGTCTAGACATAGCCTAAGAGTTTATGCTGAAATAAAGACACTTTTTCTTGCAATGAATACAGCCTTGGTTTTCACTGCAGAGGATGGTGGGGAAATATCTTGTATTTTCAGAGAACAAAGAGATACTGTTAGAGACTGAGGTATCAAAAGAGGTACTGAAACAAATTAATACATTTAAAAAACATCAAGTTCATCAGCAGCAGATGGCATACTGCCAGCAGTTCTGAATGAATTGAAGAATGATGTGTTGGAGCTGCTAACAAAACCAAAAAACACCACCAGTAATTCATCACAATTAGCTATTGTGTTGGAAGTTATAAATGTGGTGCTTGTCTTTTTAAAAAATTTGGTAGGGTAACACATGAATTTCTAATCACAGTGCCTTAATTCAGTACCACATACATTTTTACTGAAATAATTAATGAAATTAACATGAGCATTTATAACTCTAGCATGAGCACCCAAATCTTTCATATCTGGCCAAAAATCAGAGGGATGACTTGTCTTTAATGTTAAGCATGTAGATGAGAGTTTTCAGGATCAGTGTCCTAGTCTGGAATTTGTTTCCAAACAAGCCTAATAATTTTTATTACCCTGTTACAATCCTTGTTCTTTTTGTACCAAAATGACTTGCCTTTTTAAAATTACAGCTAATAATGTTTTTAAATACAACATATTTAGTAGTTTATTCAAAGTGAGAAGTATTTTAGAAATGCTTTTTAAATTGGGAGCATTCAAACTGGCTTCAATGCTCCTTTTAAAGATCAATGTGCTTAATTCAATTATAATTTAAAAATGATCCTGTTCTTGTTTAATTCTATTAAATTTTCACAGAACCTATCCTGGTGAATCAAACACAGACTTTAAAATTCTTCACCTCAAATGTTCGTTCTCTCTCTCTTTCAAATAATACTATTCTAGGCTAAGATGTTTTTTACAATTTTAAATTTAAAAAGTACCATCACGAGGACCTAGTTTTAAAATCTATATTCAGGATTTTTGAATGATTAGGGGTTTTGGGGGCCTTATATAAGCTGCTTTATGGGACTGGACCTTCAAAAAAACAAAACAAAACAAGCCCCATCTTCTGTAACTCAGATCCTTTTAAGACATCTCAAGTTAGACAACCAAAATCATATTTGAAAATCTACATATATGAAAAAATATTGAAAAACTTGTTCTTGATAAAATCATTATTACATTTCACTAGTATTCAAAATTGTTAAAATTAGAATTTGCTGTGCAGCATATATGGATACTGTTTTATTCTTCTTATTATTATAGATTTTCTTATGTCTGTAAAATTGACGATAAGATTTATGGTGAAGGCACGGGAAACGATAAAAAAGCTGCAAAACAGGCTGCTGCAAAATGTGCATATGAGCAGTTAACATCCGAAGAAACTTCAACGGTATGTATTGCATGTAGTCTAAAGAGAAAAGCTTCCTTTCTGGTTCATTCATCTTTGAATCAAGTTCAGGTCTGCCAACCAGGGCAGAGCAGAGCAGGGGAGAAAGGGGGCAGTTTCCCCAGGGCCCAGCAGTTCAAAGGGACCCGGAACTCTGGACTGCCACTGCTATTTAGGTTGCTGCTGGAATGCTGTGCTACGTTCTCCAGGCAGCTCTGACAGTTGGGGGGTGGGGTGAGGGGAACAGGGGCACGTTCTGGCTGACTTGGGGTGCTGGCTGCCTGAGACCCCACCCCTTCTGAGAGCAGGGAGCTGTCCCACACACACCTTGCCCAGGGGCCTGTGCAGTCTGTTGTCCCCCCTCCCCCCCGATCATGTTTTATCATCATTTGGCGAGAAACAAGTCTTGTTGTTTCAGTTTGAAGGAAAAGAATAATCTTTGCCATATAGATTTATGTTGGCGATGCTCCACAGTTTGGTAGCTAAAATTCAGTGGCTGTATAGTCAATAGGTTATTTAAAAAAAAAATTAGTATCTCTATTTGCATACATCGTCCTATGAGTTATCATTCCGTTAAACACATATGACAGAAAAACTTATGAAAAATATTTCAATACAGTTCTCTTAACAAAAGGAAATGTAACTAATATAATGAAATGAAATTCTCTCACACACAGTACAGTGCTACTTTACAATTACTGTACAGTTTTCTTAGTTGTATAGTTCCCTGCACTTGTGTCGATGGTATTGAATTTTCATAATCAGAATTATTTTGTAATTGTATGGGACCTGCACCTGCATTTTCAGTGGCATTCAGTGGATGCCAAGGGTGCTGATCACTTCTTACACATGCCTAAATGTGATATCTCTTTAGTAGTTCTTAATTTTTAATTTGAAATGTCATTTTCTTTTACAAAATCTTATGCTGGGGCTTTGCTCTTGGCCTCAGCTGCGAGTGGAAGTGGACAGGGACAGTGGGACTTAGTACCCTCACTTTTAAAAATGTTCCTGTACCATTGTTTACTGGCGTTTAATTGCAGGGGTGAAAAAGGATATAAAGTTTTAAATACCACAGGCAAAATCCTGGCCACGCTAAAGTTAATGGAAAAATTCCAACTTTAGTTTCAGCTCAGTGCCTTAAAGTTAAGCCTGTGCATACACTACTCATGAGGGAATTCTGTGCCAGAATAGTTAAAGTTATGCGCACAATATTTTAAAATTCTGCAAATTCAGCTATTCTGTGCTAGGCGCACCAGGTGTGAGTAGGCAGGCTCAGCCCTGCAGGATGTAAGTGTGGAGGGGCTTAGTGTGGGGGATCCAGGTGTGAGGTGAGAGGCTTCTGTGAGGGGCAATCTGGGTGTGGATGGCTCAGTGGGAGATCAGGATGCACAGGGCCTTGCTGAGAAGTTCCAAGTGCATGGGCAATATGACTCTGTAGGAGATCCAGGTAAAGGCGGTTGGGGCTCAGCAGGTTCTATCTGGATGGGGTGAGGCTTAGTACCAAGGTCTGGATGGTAGGAGATAGGGCTTGATGGGGTGAGGATTCAGGTGCGGCTGGTTGGGGCTCAGTGTGGTGGGGGACTCATTGGAGGGTCTAGATATAGGGGATAGGGTTTGTTAGGGTGAGGGTTCAAAGGGCCCGCTATCAGGGGAAGCTGTAGTTGCTGCCAAAGGGGATGCCACATGCAGGGGGGCTCTCACTTCCACCAACAATTCCCCTATGCCCTTTTCCCTCCCCCACTGCTCCATGCCCCTTCTACTCCTCTCCCTTCCGCATTCCCTTCCCCCTGCCCAATTCCATCTCTTTCCTGCCCCACTGTGGGCATTCAGCACATGCTCCCAGCACACAGTAGGGGAATCTGACTTCCATTAGCATCCAGGAGGTGGTATTCAGCTTCAGAGTCAGTGGAGCCCAGATACAGCTTCCTTCAGCTGAGCAGCTGTGCCCTGGCGGAAATGGGAGGGGGGATAGTGGACAGTGTAACCCTGTATGTCCTACCAGTCTCCCCTTTGTTAGATAAGGCAATCTCCCCCCCAAAACTGTGCCTGTGATGGTCCCCCCTACATCCTCCCTCATGCAGCTTCCTTTGCTTTCCTTCTTCAGGGAGGTGCAGGAATTCTGCAGAAGTCCCCCAAGACTAATAAACCCCTTCCTCAGCTGGAACTTTAGTGCTTAATGTAGTCCCAGTAATTTGTTTTTTAAACTCCATTGTTTTAGTCTTTTTAGCATGTTGTCCTTTGTAGTAGCAAAGCATTGACTCATAGATATCCGGTTTTTTGTTTGTTTTTGTTTTGTTAAATGTATATACCGGAACAGAGACACACACCTGTTGCAAATTCTGCAAATAGTGGACTTAGTAATTCCAATGACATGTCAGACTCGTCATCTGCATAGTAAGTTGGGACCATTAATACTGTGATATTTAACATCATTCATTTATTTATAATTCAAGAGCTAGGTTAGAGTTTTAAGCAAAATCTGTTGCTGTCTTTTCACTTGTGAATTAGTCCTAATTTAAGCTTCTGCTTCTTAATTACAGGCCAAGAATACACTTTAATTGTGCAATTGCATTGAACTTTATTATATTTCTTGTAATAGACTTTAGGATACACAGAATGTATGGTTATCCTGAATGCTTTCTTGTTCAGTACTAGTAATTATTTTAGAAGTATTTTTGCTTGGATGTAAAAAGAAGTGTGTCACCCCATTAAAGTTTTCAGTAATCATTCTTGTATTGTGATGGTGCTTTGTTGAACAGATATCAGGGTTTTTTCCCACTAATTTCTGGGTACCAAATTTCTGCTATACCACTTCTGTCTTCATTCTCCATTAATAAAAAGAGGCGTGAATCCAAAGAGGCACAACCTAGTCATGAAGAAAAGGAGAAGTTGCTAGCAGAAAGAATATTATGGTGAACAATTTTCCAGTCTGTGTTGGACCCCTTGATACCTGCCTGTTGTGCTTAGTGGTTAATTTGGCTCTGGTATCACCATTATATTTTCTCTGATGTCCAGTGTAATATTAAAGAGCTGCTAAATTCTGTACCCACGGTGGCCTGACTGCAGCAAAATGATCTCTGTATCCAGCCTACCTTACCATGGTGAGAATAGCTAACATTTGTAAATCACATTGACGTACTAGGATGAAATCCATTCTAGAAAAGGGCATTTTATTATAAAATGTAATTGAATCACAAGAATTGTGTTGCAAAGGAAGCTTTGTATTGTGTAGTTAATTCATGTAATCCTTTTTCTGTTGCATCAAGAATTTTGTAGTTTTGATTCAAGAACAGTTTTAAGTAGAAATACTGAAATTAATTTCCCCCCCATTATAGTGGTACTGATTCTTCATCTAAAAATGGAAGCTTGTTAAATAAAATGAATGGCATGAGAATAGATGAACCATCTTCATCTCCTGGGGTACAGTATGAACGCCTTCATTTGTCATAGTTAAATCTTAGACTGTCATTATTTTACTCCTGATCACAATGTTCACTTTTAATGAAGATGAAGCAGCCCCAAGTATCCAGTTTTACTTATGTGCAGTTGAAAATGTTGGAGATAGTAGGTCTGTTATCAGATTGATTAACCTGTGCTTATACATTGATTGTAATTGATCTATATTGATAAAAATAATGATGTCATACGTAGAGAAATTTTGGCCAAAACTTCTTTCAGCAAAAAGTTCAGATTTGGCTTTGCATTTATGTCAATTTTGCTAAATTGTTTGATGTAAATATGTATACATATATTCTGAAAACTTAAAATCTTGCTTCTGCACTTTTTAAAATTAAATGTTATTTTTTCAAAATCTTTTGTTCAATCAAAATGAATTTTCACAACTTTGATTAAACTTCGATTAAAGAAAATAGCTTTGGGCTTCACACAAAATAGGATTTTTTAGGAATTGCCATTGAACAGAAAAATCCATTATTCACATTGCTCTAGTAATATCCAAGTTTCATGAGTAATTTAAACTGAAGGTTGACATCCAACAAATTAGCTAGTCAGTTTAAGTATGGCTTTGGACAGCTGGTACCCACATTCTAATCTGTGTTAGAAGGTTAATTATCATATACAACAATAAATATATTTCATTTCTTTTTTTTTATATATAGACAACTCCCCAAAATGCTGCCGTGAAATCTAAGAGGTATCTATGTATTTCCCTTGCTTTTAAATATATATGTTCTGAAATTTTTAGTAGTTTTGACCAGCGGTTCCCAACCTTTTTTATACCAGGGACCAGCAAACCCATTCACAAACTTTTGGTGGACTGGTAACATTTTATTTGCATATTTGCAAATAATGAATATGCAAATAAAATGTTACTGGTCTGCCAAAATCCCTGGCTCTAAGACCCCCAAAGTGCCAGCCCTAACTCCTAGAGACCCCCAACCCTCCACTATCCCCCAGTGCCAGCCTCTGACCCCAGAGTCCCCTGCACCCAACTCCCACTGGGCCAGCCTCCCACCTTGAGCCCCCCCACTAATAGCCCTGTTTCCAGAGCCCCCCAGTGCCAGCTCCCCAACCCAGATGCCCCAGTGCCCCCAGTGTCAGCTCCCTGCCTCTTAGAGACCCCCACCCCTTAGAGCTCCCCAGTGCCAGCCTTCTGTCTCTTAGAGCCCTCTACTCCCAGAGCTCTCCAGCACTAGCCCCACCTCCAGAACCCCCAGTGCCTTCCCTGTTCCTCTCACCTAGTCCTGCGCTGCCTCCCAGCTACCAGCTGAGCACTGCTGCCTTGGTCGCGGCTGCTCCAAGGCTGCTGTGCCAGGCTCCACGCGGCCCTCTTGCTATGCAGCAAAACGCTTCTCTGAGGCGGGGAAGTGACCCCCGCTTCTGCCTGGTGCTGGTTGGCTGATGGGATGGGGGAGGACAGGACACACCTCTCCCAACAGCCACGGTGTGAGCAGTGTATCCCAGTCCTGGTCCCCAGAGCCCCAGTGGCCCGGCAGCGAGCCATGGACCAGCGATTGAGACCTGCTAGCTTTGTGGCTTGACTAAAACATGATGCCAAAATATTTCTAGGTAAATTTCTGTTCTCTATTCATGTATCACATTATTATCATATTATTGTTACTTTTCTTTTTTCTCCAAGAAGAGAAAACACACCTAAATTGGCACCCACGTTCTCCGGTGCGCAGGTCAAAGAAGAAAATAAGTACACTAAGAATGAAAGGTGAGGAGATTTTAAGAGGCGCATAGTTATTTCAGTGATGATTTAGATTTTTCTGACTAACAGTTTGCATGTTTATTGTAAAACAAAAAAAAGGAGTGGGGAAGGAATTCTATTTTCAAGTACAGGCAGTCCCCGGGTTACGTACAAGATAGGGACTGTAGGTTTGTTCTTAAGTTGAATTTGTATGTAAGTCGGAACTGGTACATATTGTAGGGGAAACTCTACATTTTCATTTCTCCAGAGCTCAGTTTTATTCTCCCACACCTCACTTCCCTCAGTCCTTTATTCTCAAGCTGAGGTGTCTGCTGAGAAAAGCCGCTCCACGTCTCCCTGGTGGGGGCGCAGCTAGTGCGGGGTTGCCTCACCCCGTTTGTAAGTAGGGATCTGATGTAAGTCGGCTCCATGTAACCCGGGGACTGCCTGTATATGCAAACTGCCATTTGTGGGTGAGGTATAGGTATTTCCTATAGTATGAATTGTTGTGCTTGGTATTTGTGCATCTCTGTGGAATTTTCTGAATTTTTTTTGAGAAACAGGCAGTGCTACAAATGTTGACATCAATGAGATTATTCAAAGAAAATGGGTAGACCACTTCTGTTCTTATGAAAATTCCAAATGTAAATGATATAAGCATGTAAACTGAAGTAGGAAGTTCTCTAATAGCTTATTTTATATGCTAAATGCTTCTAGTAGGTGGGACTTGTTGAAGGAGGGAGGCTCATTTACAAGGCTGTGGAGGTAGTAGCTCACAGAGCAGATACATACAGGTGACCCCCAACTTACAACCCCCCGCATTTACAACCATTTTTTTCATGCGAGATAGCTCCTAAACCTCCCCAATTTACATCTGCAGTTCGCATTTATGATGCTGTACGATGCAGACTCCATGCATCATCCCAAAACAGGAAATGTACAAAGTCAGTCAGACTCGCCAATCTGCAGCTGCTGCTTAAACTGTGGTCTCCACCACATCGGTCTTCACTTTTTTGTTATTTTTGTACATTAATTGAACTATTTAGTTTAGTTTTCCTCCATTTCCATAGTTAATTTTGGTATTTTTAGGGTAGAAATGGATTTCTAGGAACGGAACTGCCATTTCTAACATTGCACCTATGGGAAATTAGGGTTCGACTTACTACGGTTCTCCAGGAACTAATTAGGTCATAAGTGCAGGGATCGCCTGTATGTGAAATACAATTTATAACAAGCACAAAGGAACCATGTTTAACTGACATGATAAAATGGCATCTATAATTCTAAAAGGAAGCCTGCCGAAGATGTACGCTTAAGAGATGCTGTTCTAATGCACACCCCCTCTTTCAAAATCCTTCATTAGATTGCCCTTTCTGTCGCAAGATGCAGCATAATGTTTCTCCAGAGTAGAATACCTACCTTGGTCTCGCTGATGTCAAAGTCTGGATAAAGATCATGTAATATACAATGCAAAAGAGAAGAGGAGTTCAAAGGATCAGAAAACTCCATGAAATCAATCTTAAGGGAAATGTAACTTACATTTATGATATGTTGCATTTGATGGCAAATTCAAATAGCTCCACGCCATATACTATAATCTGAAACAGCAGATTGAGACTGTGGAGACTGGTGGGGCTCGTCTACATTGGCCCCTTTTCCGGAAGGGGCATGGTAATTTTTGAAATCGCAATAGGGAAATCCGCGGGGGATTTAAATATCCCCCGCGGCATTTAAATAAAAATGTTCGCCGCTTTTTTCCGGCTTTTAGAAAAGCCGGAAAAGAGCGTCTACACTGGCCCCGATCCTCCGGAAAAAGCGCCCTTTTCCGGAGGATCTTATTCCTACTTCAAAGTACTTCAAAGTAGGAATAAGATCCTCCGGAAAAGGGCTTTTTTTCCGGAGGATCGGGGCAAGTGTAGAAGAAAAAAAGCCCTTTTCCGCAGGATCTTATTCCTACTTTAAAGTACTTTGAAGTAGGAATAAGATCCTCCGGAAAAGGGCACTTTTTCCGGAGGATCGGGGCCAGTGTAGACGCTCTTTTCCGGCTTTTCTAAAAGCCGGAAAAAAGCGGCGGACATTTTTATTTAAATGCCGCCGGGGATATTTAAATCCCCCGCGCATTTCCCTATTGCGATTTCAAAAATTACCATGCCCCTTCCGGAAAAGGGGCCAATGTAGACATAGCCGTGTTGATCATTGTGGGTAAACCACAGAATTCCACTAAGGCGTACAGCTAGTTGGGATTAGGAAGCCTAGTCCGAACTAGCTAGTTTGTGCCGTGTGTAGCCGTGGGCACGGAGTCCGAACTAGCCGGCATTTAAAAATGGCGCCAGCCGGCTTTATGCAAATGAAGCCCGGGAAATTCAAATCCCGGCCTTCATTTGCAACTCCGTATGACTACATTAACCACCCTAGTTCAAACTAGGGTGGTAGTATAGACATACCCCATTATATGTAGCATTCTGGAAGAGGCTGGGAGGTTAGCAAAGCTGACTCACAATTTGTGTCTTTCAAATGATGCTATGAACTATTTGGCCTTAAAGTATGGAAGACAATTCTTGTGTATGTATAAGGCATGTACCAGATGTTTTTCTGGGTGCCTCATGTGAATGTAGAATAGATTAACTTTGGCTGGTATTTACTGACTTTGAGAGACAAGCAGAAGGTGCTTGTGATTGCCAGAGCTCTTATATTAATAACGGTTCTTCAGTGGCTATAGGCCAGCAGAGACCCAAAGTACAGGACGGACCTCCCTGGTCTCTCACTCTCGGGACCTGACTGGTCCCAGATGAGGAATTTTGCTGGACCAGGGGAGGTCATTCCTAGCCCCCCCCCTCTACTGCTGGACCTGCCCCCTATCTTGCTACCTCACTGGGCTTCCCCTCTCCCCTGGGCAGCCCAGCTGAGCTGTGCTCTGGGCTTTCTGGCTCCTCCCTTCCAGCCCAGCGGGCCCGCAGCTCCCCGCCTCCTCTCCCTGCAGCCCAGCTGAGCCATATATCAGTATTTCTCGGCTCCCTCCCCCTCCTGCAGCCTAGCTGAGCTGCATGCTGGACTTCCTGGCTCCTTCCCTCCCTCCCCCGCAGCTCAGCTGGGCCATGCACCTGGCTCCTGGCCCTCCGCTACATCATACCAGGTGTCCTTCCCCCCGCCATCCCGCCCCGCAATATGGCAGGTTCCCTTCCCCAGTCCTCTGCAGTGCACCAGGACTCCCTGATCCTGGAACATCCGTGGTCTGGCTAGAATCTCAGAGAGTCCCAGTTTATAGAGGTGCAACCTGTAATAGCAGGCTTTGTACTATTTTGGCTGCTCTTATGTAATAAGACTGATGAAAAATCAAGCTTCATTCCTCAAATCAAAAACCAAGTTAGAAGAGCTTAATGTAAGACCCCGGCTCAGTAGAAAAACAGTTGGAAGCCATGTGTAATCAATAGCCTCCTGTGGAAACTGATATTAAAATGGGACTGAGAACTCTTGGGGAATTCTATATGGAAATAGAAAGTTTTGAAATTAGTTGCAAAGCTACTTTGAAAGATGTTTGTGCTTACTTGGTATTGCCAACAATTAAACATGTAAATTTGCCCTAATTATGAAACTTTGTAAAATATTGCAGTGATTTCTCTGGGCTTCAACCAGTTTAATGTATTAATTAGAGTTAAACATCAGGTGCCCTTATAACTACACCATTTGTCTGAAAGCATTCTGATACATTAAGGCCAACTAGCATATTCCCCTGCGCTTTAGGCTGCCAATTTAGGTTGCTGATCCAGATCCTCAGCTAGTGAAAATCTGCATAGCTCTAGTGACTTCAAAATACCGTATTTTCTGGCGTATAAGGCGACTGGGCGTATAAGACGACCCCCTAATTTTCTAGTTAAAACATAGGTTTTCGCCTATACTCGCCGTATAAGACTACCCCCCCTTAAGAGGCCAACCGGCAGTGCCCCAGCTGATCTGCCCCAGGGTCCACAACAAAAGCCTGGTCTGCTGGGGGGGACCGTCTCCAGCAGACCAGGGACACCGGGAGCAAAGCCGCAGCCGCGGCGGGGTCCCGCGCCTCTGAGGCTTTGCCAGAGCAAAGCCTCAGAAGCGTGGGAACCCGCCACGGCTGCGGGCTTTCTCCCCGGGCGCCTGG